GGGGGATGGGGCCGCCGCAAGCCGGCCAGATGGGGCGGGGCGCGGGCGGCAGTGGAGTCCTGCGGCTGGGTGGGATATAGGGCAATGAGCGTTGAGCAGTGTGCGATGAGCAATGAGCAATGAGCAGTGAGCAGCCCCTCCCTAAACAAAGTGAAGCGCAGGACGGGGTCCGGTGGATGGGAGGCAAGGAAACGCGGGGGGTTGCCACGTGCGCTACCGCCGCCGCCGCAGGCAGCACCCCTGCGGCGGCGGCAGCGGCAGCAAGCCGTGGACCCAAACGCCGTGCCGCCGAGTCCCGTGGCTGTGGCCGTGGGCTTCTGGCAGGAAACTACGGCCGCAACTCGGCAGCACGGGGGCGTCGCAGCGTGCCCCCGCCGCCGCCGCGCTGCCCCCCGGGCACGGCGGCGGCGGCAGCAAGCTTGGGCCCAAACGCCGTGCCGCCGAGTCCCGTGGCTGCGACCGTAGACCGTGGGCCGGAAACTGCGGCCGCAGCTCGGCGGCACGTGGTTCTGTTCAAATCGCCAAGCGTGCAGCAGCGCCGAACCACGCTTCCCGGCCTCGGCGCATGCCTTCAGGGGCCCCCTATCGCTGGGCACACCCCTCCAACACCGAACATGCGCCCGGGGGGGAGGGCGGCCCGGGCTGCCCAGGCCAAAGTGGGCCGCCCTCGAGCAAGAGGCGGCCGGTCTGTGTGCTGAATGAATGAATGGATGCGTACTCGGGACGGTCGTCAGTGCAGCCTCCCCCACCGCCTCACCTCTGGCTTGATGACCTCCCAGAGCCTGTCAGCACGGATTGCGCAATCCGACAAGCACCAGGAGGCCCGAAACCGCAAAAGACGTATCCCACTGGCCGCCGACAGCGGGCCCGTTCGTGTTAGTGACACGCTGACGGACCGCTATGAGCCCATGGGAGTCCTGAGTATGTGTGAGAGCGGCGCAGAGTGGAATGCGTCCAGTAATTGACGGATGGCTGAGGTGGACATTCTGGAGCTGCCCTGCAGCTGGTCCTTGTGAGGTTGGCGTACATGTAATGATGGTCATATGGTGCACGTGCGTACCTGAGACCCAGGAAGGGCCGTGGAATGGGAGGGAGGCCGGCGCCCCCGCACCGCGCCTTTACCGGGCGGCGCCGCCGCCGCCGCCGCGTCAGGACGAGCGTGCCTGCGGCATGCTGCTGTTGCTGCAGCCTCTGCCTACTGCAATCGAGATGGCGGTGCAGCTGCCAGAGAGTGTGGGTGAGGGAGGAGAAGTGAAGTGGGCAGCCGGGCTGCGTGTCGCCAGGCACATGCCGGGGCAAGCGCGCCAGGCACAGCTGCGGAACAAGCGGCACGTGTGTACAGCTGCCACCTGCACAGTGCGCTGTGGGTCAATTGGCCCAGGCCTCTCCTTCTCCTCCTCTCCTCTCATGCGCCTGTGCCAAGTTACGTGTTGCCTCTCAGGCAGGCAGTGACAGCGGGATGCGAGGCGGCGCGCCCGGATGTGAATGCAGGGCAGCCGCTCGGCAGAGCAATAAAACAGGGGCGACGACAGGAGCCGGCAGCGAGGGAGCAGGGATGGCAGCAGGGAGCTGGGGGCAGGATAGGAATGAAAGGGGCGGAGGCGGAGAGGAGGGGGATGGGCGCCACACACGAGCTGTGGCCCATCAGTGGGCGGCCCTGCCTGGCAGGCGGGGCTCAAGCGGGATGGAAGCCGTTCGGTGTCGGAAGGTCAGAGAGGAGGGATGCAGAGGCAGGTCGGTTGGGGTGCGGGCAGCGCCAGCACAACGTTGCGGGGGCAAGGAAGAACAACGGGGTAGGTGGTGCAGGCTGCTCCCGCGCCGGCAGCTGTGCCGGCAGGCAGGTTGGCGGCAGGGCCAGCGGCACGGCGCACACGGCGGGCTACAGGAGGCGGCCGCCGCCAGCGCCGAGAGACGCTGGGGCTGGCGCCTGCTGCTGCTACTGCTGCCGCCTGTCTGCTGCCCGGGGGCAGAGCGCGGGGACTAACTACCGAAGGAGGGCACTGCTTGGAAGCGTCTAGTCTAGGGAAGTGGAGAGCTAGGAGCCTACGGGGGGGCGCCCCGCCGGGTGGCCATGGCGGCCACAGCTGCAGCGCTACAGGAAGTAGTCTGGGGCGGCCTTCTTGGCGGGCACGCCGCGCGCCTCCTGCGGCGCCGCCTCAAACACCTTGAAGTTTTTGGAGCCGCCGTCGTCCAGCTCCAGCAGGGCCGCTACGTTGCCGCACCTGGGGGGGGGGGGGGGACCCGTGAGTGGAGTGGAATGGAGTGGAATGGTGTGGTGTG